AATTTGATAATGACCCCTTATTTGAACCTGCAGTAACTCTTATCAAGAAAATCTTATCCTTGTCCCTACATCCCCTTTCACTGTTCATCAAAACTTTCAATTCCCATATAAACCTTACTATACCATTACTCCTTATCGTATTTTGCAATTTTTCAACCAGTATCTCAATAAAATCTATCTGTATCATCACAATATCTTTCATCCTAACATACACTTTTACTGTTCATCTAAACTTCCAATTTCCATATAATACCGTGCTATTTCTATACTCCTTACCTTATTTTCAATTTTTCAACCAGTATCTCAATAAAATCTATCTGTATCACCACAATATCTTTCATCCTATCATACACTTTCACTGTTCAATAAAAGTTTCAATTTCCATATAATACCATGCTATTTCTATACACCTTATCTTATTTTAAATTTTTCAATCAGTATCTCAAGAGAATCTATCTGTGTCATCACAATATCTTTCATCCTATCATACACTTTCACTCTTCATCAAAACTTTCAATTTCCATAATCTTACTTTTTCCCTTGCTCCTTATCTAATCTTGGACTAATCTAATATTTGAGATATTCTATTGTGGTTTCTCTATAAAAGTGACTTGCGGATGTAAACTGCACTGATAATTAAGTAAATTGTCAGAAATCAGCACTTTTTATGATAAAAAGTCGAGGATTTCTTCATTATTGTTTGTCATAAAGAGGTTTAAATGATAGCATTGTGATTTGTACATTCCACTTTTACATTGGAGGCCTCTTCTGACAATATTGAACTATTTTAATTTTCATTAATCAATTAATAAATCTGATTGTTCTCCGTCCCTCCAACCAATATCCATCCATCCCTTCACCTGTCTGACATCTGTTATATTTCAGAAATTAAAATAGGCCTCAAGCCCTGGAACCCATATATACGCCCTAGTTCCTATATAGTTACAACACTATACAATCCATGTTTAAAAGTCATATAACAAATATTCACATTTTAATATGATATATTCACATTTTGGTACGATCAATTCACATTCTGATACGATATATTCACATTATAATACTATATATATTCTCATTCTGATACGATATATTCACATTCTGATGAGATATATTTACATTCTGATACAATACAATCACATTCTGATAAGATATATTCACATTCTGATACTATATATATTCACATTTTAATATGATATATTCACATTCTGATACGATATATTCAAATTCTCAAATGAAATAATCACAGTCTGATACTTAATCTGCTTAAATTATATTTCCAAGAATAACCCAAATATGGGCCGAAGAAGGAGGAATGATATTGAACGCTTCAAACAAAATGACTTCTTTTATTTCCGTGAAAACAGAGAAGAGAAGACTCGGAACAAATGCTAAAGGAATTGTATAGATTTAATAATCGTTTTTATGTTGAAAAGTGTCGAATTCTGACGGTTTTATTTTTTGTCTCTGCTCCAATAATCAACAAGTCACTGGCATGAAGAAATCCAATTATGAAATATTTGATCTTCAGATAAAAAAGATATCTTCGTCATTTTTTTTGCTATATTGCGGGAGCATACCCCTTTTTTGATAATGCATCGATAATTATTTCGGTTAGTTCAGAAAGTTTGTTGATATAGAATACATAGTTAATTTTATTATCATTATCGTTGTTATCATCATATTTGGGTATCATCTCAAGTGCTAGAAGAATAAAAGGCCTGAAACTACCACGATCAAGGCCAAACTACTTGCATATATTCACTTGTTGGTTTAATCCAAGCCCATTATGCAGATATATATCATAGTGTTTGGCCTTGTAAAGCTTATGTTATGACAGGTTGGTATATAAATTACATAAATTAGGCAGATTTAGGAATTTAGTAAAATAACTCAACATTTAACCTCCACCTGTCATCTGTCTATTTAAATCATTTCGGCAAAAAAATTTAATTCCAAACATTTTGAAATTTAAATATTCACACGTTTCTCTTTCAACTATTAATTTCAACAGTTTTCAAATCTTGTTCTTCGTACATTTTAACGTAATAACAACTATAAATATTTCCCCGAGTATCGTGTTTTTATCACCGGATTTACAATATTTTTTATTTGGCAGTATTTTTTTATTATTTTAGCCGGCCATACACCATAACTGTAGTCATAGAAGGTACCAAAAAATGGGCGGTTTTGACTTTTATTGGATACAAAAAAAGACAAACACAATAGACAAATATAGATCTTTAAAAACACCAGAAATGACGCACTATTCTCAAAGTTTGCGTGTTATTATGTATTTTGCCCCAAACAATACCAATGGGACAAAATGCGTTTAGTTCTGCTTTAGATCAAAATTCCTGAATAAATAATCCATCAGGAGGTCAGGGGGGATAAAGGAGGTATACAGGAGATATATCAGGAGGGATACAGGAGGTATATCAGGGGGTATACAGGAGATATATCAGGAGGGATACAGGAGGTATATCAGGGGGAATACAGGAGATATATCAGGGGGTATACAGGAGATATATCAGGGGTTATACAGGAGATATATCAGGGGATACACAGGAGATATATCAGGGGGTACACAGGAGATATATCAGGGGGGATACAGGAGATATATCAGGGGGTACACAGGAGATATATCAGGGGGTATACAGGAGATATATCAGGGGGTATACAGGAGGTATATCAGGGGGTATACAGGAGATATATCAGGGGATATACAGGAGATATATCAGGATGTTTTTCTTCTTTATGATCTTTAGACTGTGCATGTATGTGTCTGAATATCTTAATTAAATTTTAATAAATGAGGACGGTTGTATGTTATTATAAATGGTATTTTGATGAAATACATAATAAAACTGTAAGATTGCCCCGGGATACCAGGGATATAAACTTTTATTAATCAATGTTGACAAAGTCCTTGTAAGAAGAATGCAGAACTGGGGAGTAGGGAGGGAGGGAGGGAGGGTAGGCATAAGAGGCGAAGGGTAATTCTTAGATACTGAAAGAACTTAGACAAGGAGAAAGTAAAAGGATGGGAAGGGGAGTGAAGAGGGAAAGATGAGTGAAGAGGGAGTATAGAGTAAAAAGGCGTGAATAAGTGGGAAGAGGAGTAGTATGACTAAGAGAGTGAAATAGTAGAGTAAAGGGAGGATAAAGGTGTGGTATTGAGTGTAGGCAAGAATATTGAAGATATATGAGGATAATATAATTATACCTATACCCTTCACGCTTTAACATTCTCATGTCCTGTACATTGTATGCACACTGTACAGTATGTACAGAAAAGATATATTGTTATGTTATATTTAAGGATTTACAAATATGTTTTAAGCGTCCCAGTGTCGAGTGGTTTGATCACGATAATTCTTTACAGAACATAGAGAAATAATGAACGGAAAGCTTTTAAGTTTGATGTTACAAACTCAGTGTATTTTAAACACCCAAAACGTTAACAAAAATGTAATTATTACAGCTAACACACAAAAAGCTAGGGAGTCTTAAAAACTTCAATTTTTTCTCTATAATTTGGCTTATTGTTTGTTATTCATTTTTAAAAGTGTATCCCATTCATTGTACATCATAAATTCTATCCAATAAAGAAAGGATATTCTGTGTACATGATCAGATTGTTATAAACAAATAATTCTCTCCAATAAAGAAAGGATATTCTGTGTACATGATCAGATTGTTATAAACAAATAATTCTATCCAATAAAGAAAGGATATTCTGTGTACATGATCAGATTGTTATAAACAAATAATCCTTACTGTACATTATTCTATCTAATAAAGAAAGGATATTCTGTGTACATGATCAGATTGTTATAAACAAATTGTTCTCTCTGTATATTATTTGTTGAAAAAATTTGACGAATTGCTGGATCGTTTCTCAGTAAATATCACCCCCACAAAAAAAACCATGACTTGGCTAAAAGGGGAAAAGAGGGGAAAGGGCTAAGGCAAACCCTATGGGTATGGGAGGCGGGTAGTTACTTTTTTACCATACTTCTAGTTCCGAAAAATCTCCATCAAATTGTAAATACATTTGTATTGTTTTTTATGTTTTTTTGATGTAATATCATTGGACAAAGAAAAAGACAGGCAAAACTCAAGAAATGAAGACACAACTCAAGATATACAAAAAAAAATCAATAAAAAAAGACAAAACTCAATAAAAACAGACAAAGCTCAAGAAAAATAGACAAAACTCAAGACATACAGATACAGCTCAAGAATGCAGACAAAACTCAAAACACACAGACAAATCAAGACAAACAAACATAACTCAAGACATACAGACAAAACTAAAGACAAAACAACAAAACACAAGACATGCGGACAAAACTCTTGGCATACAGACAAAACTCCAAAATGCAGACAACAGACAAAACTCAAGACATACAGACAAATACCAGACATACAGACAAAACTTTAGGCAAGCGGATATAACTCAAGACATACAGAGAAAACTCAAGCTTCGCAGACAAAACTCAAGCTTAGCAGACAAAACTGCAGAGGAACCGTTAGAACTGCAAATAATCCCAGGAATTTAAATACCTCGCAAAGATAGAATTAAGTGGAAGAAAGATTTCTAATCATGAATGATAAGAAAACTAGTAGTTAAAGGAATCAACTTGTTTGAAATAGAAATATTAAATAGTTCTTATTTTCAGGAATGCTAAACAGTCAAAATAGTGGAGCCTTTCAAATCGCCTGCTTGAGGTACTTGAAACTTTAAAATTTGATTAAGCTAGTTCTCCTAGTTCACTTAGTTCTCCTAGTGCTCCTAGTTCTCCTAGTTCTCCTAGTTCTCCTAGTTCTCCTAGGTCTCCTAGTTCTCCTAGTTCTCTTAGGTCTCCTAGGTCTCCTAGTTCTCCTAGTTCTCCTAGTTCTCCTAGGTCTCCTAGTTCTCCTAGTTCTCATAGTATCTATCATTCATAAAA